CCAGAGGATCGGAGCATTTCATGGATCCATGTGTAGGCTCTGACATCTTCTCACACTGAATCACTGTAGACAACAGAGGGGAAAAGCATTACGCCATGACTCCATCACTGTGTAGGAAATAGTATAATTACAAAAAAAAGTAGCAATATTACGAGCTATTAGTACTTAAACTCACATTCACATGAAGGGTGCTTATCCGACCATTTTCCTGACCCCGAGCACCTCAGAGGAGTCTGCACACTCAGCTTGTATCCTTCCTCACAGGAATACTGACACAAGGAGTCGTAGGAGAAACTGCCATACTTGTGAGAGCAATTGACATGTCCTTTATCTGGAACAATCACCTCACTTTTGTTACACTGCACAACTGACAACAAATAAAACACACAGTTAGATATCAAATCCTTTACGTGACTTAAAATATGTATTTAATCTAGGCTGTCATTTTGTTTTCTTACCTTGGTCACACTTGTCTCCAAAAAACCCTTCAAAACAATCACATTTGTGGCTGTTGATGGTTTCAACACACTCTCCATGCAAACAGGAGTCATTCTTACAAGCCGCTGGAAAAAACAGACATGCTTTTAGAAATTTTACATTTTATAGTAAAATAATGTCACATAATTAATCTTAAATTTTTAATCTGCTCTAGTATGTTAGTCCCAAACTGTTGCTCACCTGTGTAGCACAGAGCAGTCTTTGATTTTGTACATCTCTCGTCATTCCACTTGCCTGGTTCTTTATCTCTTTTAATGTACATCTCCACACAGTCCTCACTGATCTCTGAATTTATTACTCTCTCGCCATTGTTCGGTTCTCCTTCTGCCCAGTTGGTCGCTTCTTCTGTCAGAGGCTTGTTGGTTCCTACCCAGGTCCAGACATTATTGATCTTACGAATCCCAATCCAGTAGTAGCCATTTTTCTTGGGCAGCCAGTTATTAAGATGCTCAAGCTCCTCCTGGTTCTGGATGGCCACCATGTCTGTGTAGTGCTCCTGGCACCAGCTTCGTGCATTTTCCCATGTCATTGTGTTGTTTGAATAGAAATAAGACCAGGACTCTACACTAGTCCACATGCACAGCACTAAGGATAGAGAACAGAGATA